TGTCGGCGGTCTCGGGCTCGGCCATTGCGTCGGCCTGGCCCCTCTCGGGCTCGCGCTGGCTCATGACCACGTCGTGCCCGGCGCGGATCTTGGCGAGAGTCTCGGAATTCAGCTTGATGTGCCGGTTGGAAAGCGTTGTCTCGATGTCATGCTGCTTGACGGTGCTCGAGTAGTCCAGCTTGGAACGCTTGTCCTGGTAGCTCCGCTCCTGGGGCTCGCGCATCGTGTCGGCTGTCCTCTTCGCGCTCCAGCGCCACTTGACGACCGCTCGCGCGGTGGCCTCGGCGGTCTCGCGGCTCGACGCCACGCCGTTCTCGCGGCGCCCCATGACGCGCCGCTTGGCCTCGCTCGGATGCAACTCGCGGAGCTGCTCGGCATTCGCGCTGGAAGGCTACTCGCCCCGCTTCTCGACGGGCTCGAACTTCTCGTTGATCGGCAGCACTAGGTCGTGGAGATGGAGGAGCTCGGCGGGGATGTCGGGGAGGGCCGCGCCGACGCGCTCGGCATATGGGGCCGTGGGTGAGGCGCTTGACGTTCTCGGCGCCGATTGCAATGTCCTTCTTCTTGGCAAGCTCGTGCATCTTGGCCTTGAAGCTCGGCGTGAGCCAGCGGAGGTTCTCGGGCGGCTCTCCGCGGTTCTCGCAGACGTCGTAGGCGCGCTCGTCATTCTCACAATAGGTTGCGTTGAGCAACGCCACGGCCAGCTCGATGCGCCCCTTGTCCTTCTCGTTGAAGATGTGGCCGCACTCGTTGTCTTGAGAGACCCGCTGTTGTAGACCATCTCGAGGGCGGCTTGCTGGGCGCTGCTTGGCCACAAGGCGCTCTTGGCCTTGAATTAGCAGGCCGTCATCCTCGCTGCATCCGTGCCCTGCGCGCTCAATTGGCACTGGCGCATCTCGGCGATCGCTATCTTGTCGGCGACGAACGAGAGCTCGTCGAGGATTGCAGCGTTCTGCTTGGCCAAGCACTCGAGGATCTCGTTCGAGTTCGGGCTCGCGCTCTGGGCCACCACCTGCTCGAGGGCCTCGATGGGGAGGCTCGCCACCGCGGCGCGCTCGGCAGCCTGGGACATTGCTGACGCTCGCGACGCACTCAGGGGCAACGACGCAGGGGGGGGTGGCAATAGGGGGGGAACATCGACCTGGAGTCGGCTGTACATCGCCGATGCATCGGCGATGCGCGCTCGATCGTGAATCCACACGTTTCTGGGCAGGTTCGGCATGCCTATCCCCCCCTATCGCTGCCCCTGGGGCGAAGAGGCTCGGCGCCTCGAAGAGGGCCGAAAGCTTGCAGTCTCGGAGACTCGGGGAAGCTCGGGCCTGGGCAGCTGCGGGAATAGAGGAGGAGGAAGAGGAGGAGGAGGAGGAGGAGGAGGAGGAGGAGGAGGAACAGGAGGAGGAGGAGGAGGAAGAAGGGCCACGAGCCGTGTGAGGGATGCGCCAAAAATGATACTTGACTCGAGTGCTCTGCCTGCTCGAAAAAACGCATGTACAATCAAAATCCCATCGGTCCCCATGGCCCTGCCACGCGTTCCTGACTCGGGAACGGCTGATAAAATAAGAATGCCATGGCCCTGCCGCGCGATCGTAACTTGGGCAAACTGAACTGGTGATAATCATCCCACAGCCCGGCCGCGCGCTCGTGATTGCGGACGTTGGTGTGGTGAGACCACCATGGCCATGCTCAGCGTTTTTGATGCTCTTGCTAGTCGACATTGGGATGATAGCAACTTCGATTCGCAACTTCCCCCGTGTATTATAACATTCGACCTCCGCGCATATCTCCACAATTAAATCCTGTTGGACGGGAATTATAAATAGAGGAAGTGGAAAAAAGGGGGTATGTTTTATTATCGCCCGTGGTCGGCTAATTCGGGGGAGGAAGGGAAGGCTTCATAGGAGGAGGCAGCCTCTTGGAAGGCGCAGGCCTTGCACCTCTGGACAAGGCCCGCGCCTTCTAAGAAACAGGGGTGCTTCTAAGAAGCCTTCAGCCCTCCCCCTGCCCCCCCTCTGCGACTGGGCTACACCCCCCAAATCCCCGCCAGTGAAGGGGCCCAGGGACACACAAATAAATGCACTCCAATCCTAAGGTTCCCCAGATTTTGCTATATTTGATCGGTTTTCGTCTTCCCCCCCATTTCCAATGTTTTCCCCAATGTTCTGGAATTCGACGATTCTATGTGTCTGTGTATTTCCCTCCTTGGCCAAGGACACCTCTTGAACCCGCCCGCCGATCTGCCCCTCCCTTGGTGGGGATGGGCGCCGCCTCCTCCAAGCCTCCGTGCATCCATGTCCCCACCAAGAGGGGGTACCCATCGGTCGGAAGAAATTCGGAGGAGGAAAATGTACCCATACCGTTACCCCTCGACCGTTTTGAATTTTTCGGGCTCCTGGGAGGCCTTCGTCGCCACCGCTGGATTCGCCTCGAAATCCTGGTCAGAACGCACCCCCGGAGAGGTCTGGGGAGTAGCGGTATCGGTACCATGTGGCTTCCCTAGAAGTAGGCAAACTCAAGAAGTAAGAAGGCGTTGAAAATAGATTGGGTCTCCGCCCGCCCCCTGAAGAGGACGGAAGAGGTGAAGCCACTCGATCATGGAAATAGGAAGGCTTTTACAGTAGAAAAGAATCGGGGACTCCAACAATACCTACTTTCAACGACCGATGGGTATGGCCGGAGAGCCATCTTTCGGCGGCGAGCAAGGGGGGAAGTGAGAGGGAGAAGGCGGCAGGACTTCTCAACAGGCGGCAGGACTTCTCAGAAACCCTGGCGCCTCCTGAACAGAAGTACTGCTCGGAAGCCCAGAGTACTTCCGAGCCGTCTGGGAAGGCCCGGCCCCTCTCACTTCCCCCTGGGCGCGACGCCGAACCTTACCATGTCCCCAAAACGGCTGGGATGATTCTGGCGATGGTGGCCCAAACCGTTGCCCACGCTTTGGGCAAACGCTAACATGGATTACGGATCCGTGGATTTGGCGCGTGGGCGCCATACCCACGGATCAGGTGAAACACCACCCACGACATGATGCCCACATCGCCTGATTTGGCGACGGAGCGCACCAGCTCTGCACGGAAGCGGGACCCGCCTCTAGCTCACGCGACTTGAAGCCGATTCGACCCATGTTTGCTCTTTCTCGATGCTCGGGAGGGACAGCGCATGCCAATGACAGACCGCCGCTGGGAGCCCGTCAGCGTGTTACCCATTCGTTGTGTCCCGACCTCCTGGTGCCTTCTTGGAAACCGTAACACGCTGATGGGAACACGCTGATGGGGTCCTCACGACGGCGTGTCAACGATACCCGCGAGCCGGGAGAAGTAGGTGAAAACGTGCAGTAGGAAGGCGGATACAGTAGATTGGGTTTGGGCCCGCCCAGGGGCTAACAACAAACAAAAGCAAAATCACATCAATTCTTGAAGTAGGAACAAGCTTTAAGTAGATTGGGTTCCGGGATCCCCAGAAATCCGCCCATCTGGCGTGTGAGTTTCAGAAAGCTCAAGCTAAAGCTTAGGCTTCAACCTGGAGCAAGAGATTGAGCTCAGCTGGAGGGGGTGTCGGGGTGGCTCTGCCAGGAAAAGGGGGGGCTGGGGGGGGGGCGCCAGAGCTCTGGTTCCGGGAGGGGGAGGAAGGCGGGGGGGGCGCGCCAGCTCTCCGGTTCCGGAGGGGGGAAAGGGAGGGCGCCAGTTCTCCGGTCCCGGGGGAAGGGGTGCTCCAGTTCTCCGGTTCCGGAAGAGGGGGAGGGAGGGGGGGAAATGGTAAAATCGTTAAAATTCCAATGGGTTTTTGCTACATTGAGAGCGTCTCGCCCTTTTGATTTTCAAAGCGCCGACAGCGGTCCAAGAGGCCCCCAAGATCGTCGCAAGACATCCCAAGAGGCCTCGCGGAGGAGCCAAGACGGCCCAAGACGGCCCCAAGATAGCCCAGGGAGCTCCCAATACGACCCCGAGAGGCCCCCCCAGTGGCCTTAAGAGGATGAACCCGAACTGACCCTTCCCGTCCTCCACCCCAAGACAACCCCAAGAGGCACCCTTAGGCCCCCAAGAGATTCCCAAATGGCCCCCAAGAAAATCCCAAGAAGCCCCGGAAAGGCCCCGAAGGCCCCCCAGAAGCCCCAAGTGCCCCGAGGCCCCAAGAGGCGCTCACTCGCGTGCTGTCAGGCAAGAGGTGCATGGTATGACGTCATATTGCTCGGACGCGAGTCTTGGTCGTCGTCGTCGTCTTCGTCGTGCTCGTGCTCGTGCTCGTGCTCATGCTCGTGCTTGAATTCGTCGTCGTCGTCGTCGTCGTCGTCGTCGTCGTCGTCGTCGTCGTCATTGTCGCCGTAATCATCGTCGTCGTTACCCCGTTCGTCGGTCGTTGTCGTAATTATCCCGCTCGTCGATCGTTGGTCTTCCGTTGTCGTCGTCGCCGTCCGTTCCCGATAACATCAGGAGCGCCCCGGATCGGCGGCACTGGACGGGGGCCACTACAATACGATCCTTCAACGGCTGGCGTGCGCTGTTCTTGCTCCAACGAAGCACGCTTGACCGCAGCGGAGGACCCCAAGCCCCAGGCTCCCGAGGCTCCACCTCGGCCTTCCTCCTGGCCCGCGCGCGACGCCGCGGGCCTGCCCGACCAGCGCCCGCTGGGAAGAGGTGCACAACCGAATCCGCCCGCCACGAACAGGCCGGCACGTGCGCGACCCGAAGAAGACTCGCACGCGCGGGCGCCGCTCGCTCCGGCGGAAGGCCAGAGCGGAGCCACGTCTCTGGTTCCTCCGCCTCTCCCCCGCTCTCCTCCCCTTCGCCTCTCCTCAACCTCCCCTCCCCTGTCTCCTCGATTCCCTCGTCTCCTCTGCCCTGTGATCTTCGCTCCTCCCTTCTGCCACTGCTCAATGTGCATACGTATATAGATATCGATGTCTTCCTCCAGGCCCCCGCGCCCGAGCACGGCGTCCGACAATTCCCCAGCGCCGCACCCAGAAACTATTCGTGAAAAGAAATCGCTCTCCAGGAGCCGCGTTGCTGTTAGAAGCCATCCTGGCGGCGTCGCTTGGCCGCGTTGCCAAATGGACTTTGCCTCTGGGGGCCGCGAAATCCCCAAATCACCAAATATCTCCCCAAAGCCTCGTCCAGAGATAACGCAAACGGAAAACACTCCGCTGGAGCCGCTTTGTCCAGGACGGCCCGGGAACCCTCCGAGACAGCTCAGGATGTCCCAAGAGCCACCCACTCCATGTCGTTGAACCTCAGAGCGTGTGTTAGTACCAACGTGTTGTAGCCCACCGAAGACCTTCAGTACGACTCAGTGGGCGCAACGAAGGTGGAGCTGAACGGGGTAGACACAAAATGGGCCAGCACACGTCCAGAGGATCATCGAGAACGGCGCACGAAAAGGGTCCCACATGCGCCAAAACATGGCATACGAGAGGCCCCAGACAGCCAATATGTTTTTTCGCTTGTCTCCCATGCGCTTCGACGCAGGACGGCCCTCGGAATGTTCAAAAGGCCTCATCAACTCCCCATGCGCTGCCCAAGAACTGCCCGAGACGGGCAGAGAGGGCCTCTGGAGGGGCCCGTGGAACAGGGCGAATCGGCACTGCCACCAACTGTGCGAGGAGCCAGAGGGGGTCCTCCTGGTGGTGTGGTCCCCTTCTCCGCTCGAGGGCTCCCTGTCACAAGATCGGGGAGGCTTCGTGGACCAGGTGCCACCTCCAGCGAGAAGGCTTCTCGCTGGAGGTGGCCCCCTCTGGTGGTGGTGGTGGCGTGCCACTTGTCACATCCCCTCCAAGGGCGTCCGAGAGGGGGGCGTCCCAGAGGGGGCCTCGCAGATCATTTTGCCCGAGGCACGTGCGCGGCCCAGGGGTGGGGGGGGGGGGCGGGAGAGGGGGGGAGGGGGCAGGGGACGCACTGGAAGAAGAAGAAGAAGAAGAAGAGGCGCCGTACAAGCTGTGGGGATATCGTGGCCCCCGCCATGACATCATCCCCCCACCCGATCCCTCCGAGGGCCCAGGCCCAAGACTCCCTGCACAGACCTTGCAGACGTGCTGCAATGGATTTTTGCATGGACTTCTGCCAGTGCAAAACCTCGAAACGGAGAGAGAAGAACGACGGGGTTTTCGCGTGGATGTTTGTTTAGGCTTCATTCCTGGCCAACAGAAATTCCGTACGAAATGCACCTCGAAATCTCGAACGAAATTCTCCAGGACACTCCGGGCCCATCCAATCGTTTTCCGAACAAATCCTCTCTGCGACGTTGGCGCCATGACAAGACCTTTTCTTCGACCAGCTTGCAGGCACCTGGCCCCGGCAGCCCGACGCGCGGCTTCGCCCCGGGCCGCGGGCCCAGCCCGAGGCAGGACGCGCCGCCGGCCCCCTCGACGCGCCCCGCGCGGGGCAGCCCGCCGCTGCCGCCGAGGGCGAGCCAGGAGCCTCGCCAGCGCAGCCGCCAGGGCGCTCCTCGTGCAGTCGGGGCTCACCAGAAAGAGCACGCGAGAGGACACAAGGCCCTTCCGAGGGCAACATTGCCACAGGAACGTGCAAGGCATGGGCCGCAAAACGCGGGACACGAGGGTACCCTCGATTTAGCAGGATCGACAGACTTGTCAGTCTTAACTGTAGGTGACGACATCCGAACCCTGCTCTCACCAACCGCTAGTTCTTCTGAATCGATGGGAAGCGGGTGCGGGTTCGGATGTCGGCCCGAGTTCCACAGAAATCTAAGCCCTGCCCCCGCCGCCTGTCGAGTGGCCTGGACCGTTGATCGGCGAGACGCCTCGAGGGTTCGGATTCCGCCGCCAACCTCGGCTGCCGCGGAGGATCCCCGCCAGCCAGCAACGCACGCGGGCCGCGTCGGGCTGCCGCTCCAGCGCGCGGCCGCGCAGAGACGGGGCCTCCGGGGCGCCGCGGGCATCGAGGCCGAGGCCGGCGGGCACGCGGAGCGCGCGGAGCGGCTACACGTAGGAGCGACCGTAGGCAAGAGTGATCATTCTCCTCCTCCTCCTCCTCCTCCTCCTACTTCTCATGGTCCTCCTCCGCCCTCTTCTCCTCCCCCTCCTCCTCCTCCTCCTCCTCCGCCTCCTCCTCCTCATTGTCATGATCCTCCTCCTCCTTCTCCCCCCCTCCTCCTCCTCCTCCTTCTCCCCCCCTCCTCCTCCTCTTCCTCCTCCTCATGGTCGTTCCTCATGGTCCTCCTCCTCCTCCGAGCGCGCAAGCCGCTTCGGGCCAGTGCTGGATGATCCCTCTGGGTCCGCACCGAGGGCCCCTCCAGCGAAGGGTCACTCTGACGTGTCGCCGAGCGGAGCGCCTCCCTCGTCAGCGGCAGGCCCAGCCCGGCAAGGCAGTCCAGCGGCGGCGCCAGGCGGGGCGCGCGAGCGCCGGATCGCCCCGCGGCCGCCAGGCGCTGCAGCTGGACCACCGCCGGCACCTCGCATACCCGTATCCGCGGCCTCGCGGGCCCGGCCCCGGAGCCGCGACCTCGCGGACGCGGGGCGTTTCCTCGCGGATGCCCTGCGCGGACCGTGCCCGTGCGGACCGCGTGTCCGCGGCATCGCGCCTCCGAGTCTGGACCGCGAGGGCGCGGATACGGAGGTATGTTCGCCGCTCGCGAGCACCAGCACCCCCCGCGCGGTCACCATGCCAGCAGCAGCGGCGCGCGCGCCGCCTCCGACGGGCATGCCGCACTGTCCGTGGATCGCTTCGGCAAGAAGCACCGCTTGCCAGGCGGCGAAGGACTGTGCCCCTAGGCCGGCGCGGCGGCCCGCAGAGTGCGCGCTGGCCGCGGAGAAGCCGCCACCGCGGCTGGCCCACAGAGCGCCATGCCGCCCGATGGTGTCGCGCAAGAGGAGGCCTCGCGGCGAAGCGCCGGCCACCTCGCAAGCGACCGCCGCTGCGTCCCTGCTCAGTACGTCGGGAGCCCACCTGGCGAGGCCCATGTCGGTGAGCAGCCACAGCGCCATGCGCCAGCGTGCCCTGTGGGCGCAGGCCGCAATGCCGGCATTGAAGGCCCAGAGGCTGGGATCGAGGCGCCCCCCCTCCATGTCAGCGAGCAGTGCGACGGCGGGCTGCCAGCGCCGCGCCTTCTCACATGCAGAGATGGCGGCACTGAAGGCGGCGGCATCTGGCTGGATGAGGGCCAACTCCATGGAGCTCAGAGCGAGCAACGCATACTCCCATTGGACCGCTGCTTCGCACGCGCTGATGGCAGCGCCAAAGGCTGCGGCGCTGAGGTGACGGGGCACCGCGGCTGCAAGCAGCGCGATAGCAGAAGTCCACGCCGTGCCTCTGGCGCAAGCGTCGACCAGTGAGCTACATGTCACCGAGGTCGGGGCGGCTGCGCAAGCACGCATGTCGGAGTACACCGCCAGGGCAATCGCCCACTGGCTTCCACGTCCGCAGGCTGAAATGGTGGAGTTGTACGCAATGCTTGAAGGCAAAACTCCTCGAGTTGGCATTCCGCGCAACAAGGAGCACGCACGCAACCACTGCGACGCGCGACCGCAGGCAGCGATGGCGGCACCGAAGGCGACCACGCCAGATGCGAACCGGCGCCGCCGCATCCGACCAAGCAGGCCAAGCGCCAAGCGCCCGGCCTTGCCACTTCGGCAGGCGGAGATTGCAACTGTGAAGCTCGCCGCGTTCACCTGCAGTGCAAGCGCGACCATGCGGCTGAGCGCCCACAGTGCCTGGGTCCACCATGACGTCGTCTGTAGCGAAGTCAGAAGATCATTGCACCTGTATGATCAATCATCAACGCAGCGGGAAATCGGATCGGAACATGTATCGCAACGAGTCAGAATCGAAACGGGTCGGCCGCGCCAAGATGCACAACAACGCTGTGCGAACATAAACCGCATCGGATCGTCGGAATATCGGAATCGGATCGAGCCGGCCAGAATCGACGACGAATCGGATCGATCAGATCGAGGACCACGGTTTTCGGGTAATACCTCGGGTCTCCCGCTGCCGTTCGGGATGCTCGGGGCATCCCTGCCACGATCTCGGCGAGGGGCAGCTGCTGGAACGCATCCCGGGGCAGGGAACCTTCCAGGAACCAACGACGAGGTGTGCAGACCTCGAACCTCCACTCCACCCTCGGACCAGATCGATCGGATTGACATATAAGTCGGGCATGTTCTCCTACAGGCGGGCTTTCGAGGAAACGTTCCAAATAGTCAGCCAATACTCAAAACTAGCAAGAATGAATAGAACATTTGTCCCCAGACTATTTCTTAACGATTCTTGCACATTCCGCCTGTGGAAGGACACCCCCGACTTCAATCGACATGGCACCTGCGCGTGCCGAACTGCAGCGCCAAGTCGGGCCTCGGCGCCCGCAGCAGCGCCAGCGATGCCTCCCACGCGGGCCGCCCAGCGCGAGCGCCTGGGTGCCCGCTGGGCTCCTGGGCGCTCCTGCTGGCCGCGCGCGAGAGGCAGAGCGGGCCGCGCAGCACCTTGGCGTTCGGCGCGGGCCTAGACGCCAACGTGCTGATCATCGCCGGAGGCGCCGCTGCGCGGAGGCCCCCGCGGGCAGCGCCCAGGCGTCATGCTGCATGACGCGGGGAGGGGGCCACGGGAGGCATGCCGATCCCAATCCCCGACTTCTTGTGGCGCCTCGAGCGGACCAGGCATTGGGGGCCAAACTCGGGGATGCAGGACAGGGGAGGGGCACCCATCCTCGACAGGGTGCGTCCGAATAGCCCTCCGAGGGCCGAGGGTGTATCCCCGAGGGCACCTTTTCTGAGCGGCCTCACCTTTTGGTTGACCCAATGGGGCGTCCAGCTGAAAGGAGGCGGTGCAATAGGTTTGGGGCAATTGCATTGCAAATGTACTGCGCCGGAGAATTGGATTGCATGGTATTGCAGCTAATGGTTGTCACGCGGAAATGCAGCAGTACATCTGTTCCCCGGAATGTATTGCACGCCCCAAATCTACTGCAACCCAAAATATGGATTGCACCAGATCTATTATACCACCCCCTTGTAGCTGGACCCCCTTCTGGGTCAGCCAGACACCTGTCGGGAGGAACCCGTGGATTGAGGTCGACTACATCGCCTGCATCGCCTGCGAGGGGGGGGGAGGGGCCAGATCAGGTGGCACGCACCACGGGGGTGGCGCGCGAGCTGCGGGCGACCTGCTGAGGAGGCGGGGGGGGCCTCACAGAGGGCGGGGGCCTTCTTGGAGGCCCTCCCGGCTTCCGAGGAGCTCCCTGATGAGCCTCCAGGCCTTTCCGAGAAGGCCCCTGCCTTCTTAGAAGCCCCCCCGCCCTCTTACAAAGCGCCCCCCCTTGCGCTACACCCCCCCTGTGCGCGCCGCCGGGGAACGGCGACGTGCTCCCCCGCCTGGCAGCAAGGACCAAGGCTGGTCATCAGAGGCTTGAGCCACATCTACGGATAACCGTCCCGACAACACCTTGAAAAAACCATAATTCCACCACGGTTGAGAGAATTTGACATCGCTTACCGGCCACGCATGTCTTTCGCTTCCAGTCGAACTGCGACAATGATTCCCCGTGGGAGTCTTCGGTGCATCCTGGTTTAGCATGTTTATCAGATCTTCTTCCGATCCTGTACATGGAGAGTCGCTGAGACGCGAGTGAAGAGTCCAGAAACACACAGCCTAGCTAAATGCACCCACCGCACACCGTCTGACAAACCTTTGTGTGGCCAGCATCTGTCCACGCGGCGACCACTTGTTGGTTTCCCACTGGCGACTCCCACCCCCCATCTGAAGTTCCTGCGTTCCCCGCACCGAGCATGGGGGGCCCCGAGGCCCCAGACACCCCCCCACGGGGAGGCCCACCCGCCAGGGGAGAAGCGGGAGGGGTGAGAAGGGGGGCGGGAGAGAAGCAAAACCAACACGGCGTAGACGAGGGAGGAGCGATCGGAGCGAGAGGGCAAAGAGATGGAGGCCCAGCAAGTTGTGAGGAACATGGAGGGAGCAGGGAAGATGCAGGAGGCGAGAGGAGGAAGGAGGAGGCAGGGGAAGAAGGAGCAAGAAAGGCACCATGAACTCAGAAGCATCAGCAGCAGCAGAACCATAAAAAATAACACGCTGCCTGGCCCCAGGGCCACCCGGCGTCCAGGGGAAGGGGGGGGGGAAGCGGTGTGCCTTTGTCTGCGGGCCCCTGCGCGCGAGCCTCGGCGGGCGTGAGACGCGCGTGGCGGGTGAGCTCGTCCAGATCCTCCCAGAGGGGGAGGACGACGGAGTGGATGGAGAAAGGGGAAGCACGGTGAGCTTGTTTTCCACCGCCGCCACCACCATGAATAGGAGTGGGATGGGGGCCCTCCTCCTCCTCTTATTCCTGCTCCTCCTCATCCTCTACCTCCTTCCCCCTTCCAACTTATGGTGGTGGTGCTCGAAAACAAGCCTATCGGAGCAAGGAGGGAGCGAGCGAGCAAGCAGAAGCCGAGAGGCAGTGCGGTCAGAGGCCGTTCGGCTGCGCACAGCCTCCCCCGCCAGCCCCACAGAAAAAGGGGCCCAAAGTCGTCCATTTATGGTGGATGAGGAGTAGGAGGACGACGAGGAGGAGGAGGAGGACGAGGAGGAGGAGGAGGAGGAGGAGAAGGAGGAGGAGGTGGAGGAGCAGGAGGATGGGGAGGAGGAGGGGGGGAGAAGGAGGAGGAGGAGGAGGAGGAGGAGGAGGAGGAGGAGGAGGAGGAGGAGGAGCGAGGAGGAGGAGTAGGAGGACGACGAGGAGGACGAGGACGAGGAGGAGGAGGAGGAGGAGCGAACGTCCACTGGCGGACGTCAGTGACTTCTCTAGCGGCCTCCAAGTGCAGCGAGGAGGCCGCTGCTCTCGGCGCGGCGGGCGGGGGCACGGTGCGCCGCCCGCGGCTCGTTTACGTAGTTTTGAGGGCGGTGAAGGGAGGTAGGCGGAAAGTGAGCGGGGGCAGAGCAGCGCGCGCCCGCGCCACCTGTGAGGTAAGGTGGCAGCCTCAGGGCGTGGCGCGCGACCGTGAAGTAGTTCACGACCTTCGCGTACGTCAGCAGGCCCTCAGACGCGGCATCCTTCGTCATGTGGTAGGCGCGGCACGAGACCGCAAGGCGGGCAGCCGCACTCCTGATGCTGTTCTCCCCGTCGAAGGGCTGCGCAGCACCGCCCAGGCCCAGGCGAGGAAGGAGTTCTGGCGCCAGCAGACCACGAGGAAGTGCCGCGTGGTGCATCAGGCGCGGGCAGCAGAGGTAGTGGTCGATGGAGTCCCTGTTGCTGCAGCCGAAGTGGCAGTCCCGTTTGGTGTGAAGCACGTGCATCCTGTATGAGGTCGTCCAGCCGCCACTGAGGGTCTTCATCACTGCCCACAGTCTGGCGGGCGGGAGCTCGGCCAGGTGGATCCTCAACCGCAACCAGCGCTCCTTCATGTCGGAGGGGAGTGCGTTCGTGCCGATGAGGTCGAGGTCGTCCGTCTTCATGGCGTCAGGTGGATCAGGCTCGCCTGGCGGAGCAGGGCCAGGATGGACAGCGCGGTGCGCATCGACCCAGCGTCGGCGAGCGCGGCGTTCAGCGGCCAGCTCCGCTCGGTGACGAGATTGCTCGCGTATGTCTTCAGCGCGGGGGCCAGCATTGCCCAGCAAGCGGAGCTCCAAAAGGCGGCGGCCGAAGGCACCGTCCTCCCATGCCTGGCGGGACATCGCTCTCGCGATGGAGAGCCTCTGGGCGTCGGTCTGGTACAGAGGGCGAAGTTCATCTCGTAAGAGAACACCTGCCACGTAGTCCTCGCACCAGCTCTGCCAGTCGGCCTGGTTGTCGAAGCTCCGCAGGTTGAGGGAAATGTCGGGAAGCCAGCGCGCGGACCATGCAGCAGCTCTTCGTTGGAGGCGGTCTTGTATGTCCTCCGCTTCAGCCAGAGCAGCATCGCGTGGGCGGCGGGCGTTTTGGCGTCCAAAGTTGGCAGGGTACCAGGCAATGAGGCGGCGCTTGATCGTAACGTGCATGGTGTCATTGTAGAGCTTCTCTTGCAACGCGAGCTGGTACGCCATCTGCGGGGTGCGCTTGCGCCGGCGGGGTGCGTCATCATCGTCACGTCCCGCGGGCCAAAAGACCCTGCGCCCAGACAATTTGGACATCCATGTCCATTCTGTCTGGGCCGCTCGGCGGCGCGGGCGGTATGTCAGCTGAGCAGCAAGAAGGCCTTGGCGAGCAGCATGGCGATGTGCTTCATGAAGCGTGGTGCGGGCGCGCGACTCGTTGCCAAGCTCGCGGGCGATGCGCTCGAACGTCGAGCCCTTCCCTTCGGCGAAGAAGGTGGACGAGAGGGAGCCCTTGAGCCGCTGGACGATAGACGTCGGATCCTGCCAGCACGGTGCACTCCAGCGCCCCTCGATCACGGCGCGCGTGGGGAGCTCCATCATCGCCGTCTCGTGGAGCTCGTCGTGCAGGTGCGTCCAGTTCTTGATGGTGATGTGGGCGGTGCGCCACATCGTCGCTGCGAGGAGTGTCTCGATGCCGTTCGGGGTCTCGACGTTCGTCCACAAGGTCATGTCTTGGATGTCGGTCTTGGCGAAGCAGTCCGGGGCGGCCCTCAACAATTTGTGGATGGCCTGGAGCTCCTTGGACAGCAGGGTGGGCGGCGGCTCGTAGAGCTGGCCGACGAAGGAGGGGCAGGTGACCGCGGCGACGCTGTACAGCTTGATGCATGTTTGGGGTGGGGCGTGTGATAGCGAGAGTTTCTCAATGCGGTCCCGCCACTTGCTGGTCGGCGCCTTCCATTGTTCCTGTACCGCAGCGCCTGGACCGACCATAAACCCAAGATATCGAGCCATCGCCTCGACTTTGAAGTTCTGCCAAGGTGGGTGGATCTCGGTCAAGTAGGCGCGGATCTCCTCGCGCAGCGGCTCTGTGGGGAGGGCCCAGGCGGGGGCGATGATGCACTTCTTCGCTTGGAGCTTCAAGCCCGCAAGAGTTTCAGCAGCGACAAAATGGGGTACCATTCGTTCGAGGTCTCCAAGGCGGGCAAGTACGATGCCGAGGTCGTCCGCGCACGCACTGACCAGACCTCTCTGGATGGCCTGGAGCTCGGAGCTGATGGAGCGCGCGAGCGGGTCGAACGTGAGCGCCCACAGCGCGCCGCTCAGTGGACACCCCTGAGCGACGCCCGAGGAGGCAATGAAGAGCGGCCGCGGGACCCCGTTCAGCTCGAGGAAGGATAGCGGCATGTAGTAGCACGCGCGCAGGAACTTGAGCATGCGGCCAGAGATACCCCAGCGAGACAGCACGATCCAGAGCCATTGGTGGCCTATGCTCGGGAACGCGGCCGCAATATCGAGGCTGATGGAGATGAGCTGGTCGTTCTCGGCGGATGGTTGCACGCTGAGCTTGCGGGCCTCGGTGTCAACGACCACGACGTTGCGTGGAAATTGTCGTCCATTGACGAATCCTTGTTGTGCATGTGCTGTGCCGGCAGCAAGAGTATGCAGGGAGCGGTTGGCGGCAGATGCGAGCAGCTTGATGTCCGTGGTTTTCATGGAGAGCGGCCGCAAAAGCAGTCAGGCGTTC